ATACTGCTGTCCACTTGAAAATAGTAAATTATTATTTATTACTGTTGTACAATATAACAGATACAAACTTTATAAGACCCAAATAACACATTTGAAAGAGGATGTAGTTATAAAGTCTTAAATTGCCGTTTATCAAAAACTGACTTTCTTTCATTACACTCTACTTATCCTAAATGTTTGGTAAAATTAAAAAACTTAAACTTCAAACATTTTCAAACTAAGTGATGCCATTTATAAAGTTCCAAAGATTTTTATTTAATATTTTACATTTTTCAGTTTACTCACGTCTGTAATATTTATTTATCCAGGACTTAATAGCTGTTAAACTATAATTTTATTATTTTCTATTAAAAACTACAGGTATTTTGCTAAAGAAAAAAAACAATCGATTTCCTGTTAACTACGACAATACACGATGATATATGATATTTGACGTTGTAATTTTAAGTTACTCCTGTTGAAACTTAAATTAAATTGTTTGATTTTTGAATATTCAAAGAGTAACCGAAGTAAAGAAATTTAAATATTATACAGTATTTAAATAGCTATGATAGTCATGATAAATCGCGTCTAGAAACTCGACGAACTGACGTGTTTTGCATTCATTTCGTTAACACTAAAGTAATTGAAAATTTTTCTTCGTATTTCAAAGTTAATGTAATTATTATCATAAAAAAATTAATATCAGAAATAATAAATAAACATTTGCATTGATCCAAATGAGAAATTTAGATAAACAGCAATTACCTGTATATCAGTTGTGGACGCAGAGAGGACTTTTGGAAAATCAACCCCCCTCTTCTCCGATATGAATGGATGATTAATTTCAAACCTAGTTATTCTCATTTCTGCACCTTAAAAAAAATAATTGCTCAAAAGACGATTAAAATATCAAAAAAATTTTGGTTGGCTACAAAATTTTGAAACTTTGGTACAATATTTCTCATACATTGTTCTTACTCGAGTAAAAAGATCTCAAAACTCTGCTGTCATAAATTTTAAAAATAAGCGTTTGAATTTGAAATCTTAAATAAATAATATAAAATAAAAGAATAAAAAACAAGAAATCCAACGATTCTTGGTAAGTAAAAGTTAATACACATTTTAATATGTTAACTTAAGACTTGAAAATATAATATAATGTATTGGAAAAATTCTTTCAAATGAACCAAATAAGTTTATCGGGATAGCACAAAAAAATGCTATAAGCATTAGAAAATTATACATTGATGAAATCGCATGTTTACACATTTATTAGGAAAACTATTGAGAAATTAAAAAAAAAATACCTATCTAGTCTCTAATGAACCAAAAACTCAAATAAACAAAATTTGCCACCCCTAATGTGAAAACTACCCTCAAAGTTGTTGATAGAATAATTTTGAAAATTTGAATTCTCTGAGTTTGTTTTATAATGTTTATGAACATGTTTGCTTATCATCGGACATACAGTGTATATCTTAAATTGACTCACAATATATATTTATCGAGAAAATTGGTCTTTTGAATACTTTTTATATTTACCATATTAAGTGTGCCGACAATGTGTTGAAGTTAGACTAGTAGTAGTAGTAGTTTGTCGTTTGTAGAATATTGTACGGGGACTGTTTTCGGATCGTCAGCTGATAGAATGGTAAATTCCACAAGAGCGCTCTGATATCGTTGAGGTATCAATCGGGGAAATAGTAGAGCTTGTTAATGCGTCGCCCTTAGGTAAGGCACCGGGTCCTGATGGTGTTCTTGACTTCGTGGTAAAGGCAATCATGTTGAGAAGATCAGCCGAAGTGGCAACCATTCTCAACAACTGCTTAAGATCTGGCTGCTTTCCATGTAGCTGGAAAGAGGCTAGATTAGTTTTACTACTGAAACCAGGCAAACCCCTAGAGCTGCCGTCGTCTTATAGACCCTTGAGCATGGTGAGCACGTTTGGGAAAATGTTCGAGAGAGCCATTAAGCGGCGCCTAAAGATTCACCTGACAGAAAACCCAGAGGGTCTTTTAAACAATCGATTTGGCTTTCAACGTGGACGTTCAACCATCAATGCGTTGGAAAAGGTACTAGCTATAGTGAACCGCAATTAGTCCAAGCCATGGAGGCGCAGGGATTTATGCGCGCTAGTCTCAATAGATGTCGCCAACGCCTTTAACACTGTTCCTTGGGACAGAATTGGAGACGCATTGAAAAATAATAACACTCCAACTTACCTAATAAGAATACTAAGGGATTACCTTCGAGAAAGGCTTCTGCAGACGGACATCGGTGGTAAAAATGTTACTAGTGGTGTACCGCAAGGATCAGTTGTTGGGCCTACTTTATTGAATTTATTTTATGATGACTTATTATGGCAATCTCTACCAGATGGAATAGAGATCATCGTATTTGCGGACGACATTGCAGTGGTTGGGTTCGGAAAAAATACCAAAGTTTTGGAGGTTACAATGAACAACATGCTCAACTTGATCAGGGAATGGATGAACATCAATGGTTTGACGATCTCGATAAGTAAAACGGTTGCAATGGTTATGACGTCAAAGAGACGTTACAGACGCCCAAAATTCGCATTGCTAGGTGAGACACTGGAGTTTAAAGACCATATAAGGTACCTCGATGTCGAACTTAGCTCTAAACTCGGCTTCAAGGAACACGCAAAAGTGGCACATGAGAAGGCCTTCAAAACGATGGCTGCCTTATCAAGGCTGATGACGAATATCGGACGCCCAAAGTAGATCAAGAGGAAACTGCTCGCATTGTTTATACACAGCCAGCTGCTGTATGCGGCTCCGGTGTGATGCTCGTCAATGGTGTTCCATAAACACAGGCAGTTACTGCTCGGTCCCCAGCGCACTATGGCTCTGAGAGTAGCCAGCGCCTACAGGACGGTATCTACTGGAGCTGTCCTAGTGGTAGCAGGCATTGCTCCGGTACACCTGATAGCTCGCGGTCGGTGTAAATTATCGTGGCTTCAAAAAACAGGTATAATAGACGCCAAAAGCATAGTAGGCAATGATATTTGGGACTAGTGGCAACAAGAATGGGACGGAGAAACTAACACTGGTGCGTGGACGAAGCGGTTAATACCAGATGTACGCAGGTGGGCAAACCGAGCCCACGGGGTAACTTGCTAGTAGCAAGTTGCTACCATATGACCCAATTTTTAACTAGGCACGGGTGCATTCAGGCATACCTCCACAGATTTGCTCGAACGGAGTACCCACACTGTGTGTCTCGCGGGGACCCGACAAACGAGGCGGAACATACGTTTTTCAGATGCGGCAGATGGGCGAGAACGCGCATGGCACTGAAGAACGCAATAGTCGAGGACATTGATCCAGAATCAACAGTAGGGATTATGTTAAAAAAATGACCAAATTAGTATGCAGTTGAACAGTTCGTCACTTCGATTCTAAGTACCAAAGAAAAAGAAGATCAACAGAGATAAAGGAATCGTCGTAACCAGCACCATGTTATAGTACTCACGGATCATTGTAGTATGAAAATGGTTATTTTAATTATTTATTTATTGTATTGTAAATTTTGATGTTGTTATTGTTTCGAATTCACACAAATAAACGATGGCGAACCGGCGGGAATGCAAAGCATAGGCAGTTCTCCTCCGGTTCAACGTTCAAGATAAAAAAAAAATAGTAGTAGTAATAGTTGTAGTAGTACTAGTAGTAGTAGTTGTGTACTAGTTTAATTGTATAATTCAGTAAAACATTTCTATGCCGGACCCCATGTAAGACTCTATAAAACAAAATAAATGTTAATGTTTTCAATGATAATTATGAATAAACTTAAAAACACATATTTTATAATCATATTGTACTTTTTTGTCACAATTTATAATGCTGTTTCAGTCTTAATAAATGGTCTCTTGAAATAGTTCGACTCAAAAAAAAAGTTTAAGTTTCTTTAACTGTGGATGGATCCCTAGATACGTTAATACTTGAAATCCAAATATCATACGTATATAATAATAATATAGAAAGCCCACTATGTTCAAATTTGTTTATGAAACCTTGGTATAACAAACTCCACGGGGGTAGCCGAACAAAAAACTCTGGTAGTAGACTATAACGACGATGGATCATTAAACATTAAAGCACAAAGCTACATAAATATGTGTGTATGTGTGTGTGTGTGTGTGTGTGTGTGTGTGTGTGTGTGTGTGTGTGTGTGT